AAGCAGCAGCGATGGCAGCTCAAGCCTCAGCAGGGCTCAGCCCAGATGTTGCAGTGTGTTTCTTGTTAATGGTGTTTTGTGTTATGGCGGAAGTTGCTGGTTTGGTCCAAATGCTGCCCTCCCACCCCACGTTGTCAATGTACCCTGAGTCTCCTGTCAATCTGCCTTAGGCCCACCACATGCCTGGAATTCCACTTCAGAAATCCCCTGAACTTCAACACTAGATTAGTCCATGTGACCTCATTTTTTCATCCACCTCCCTCATTGGATGAGGATTTTGTGAACCCTGCCTTTTACCCCACCCCACGGTATCTCTGATTAGCTGATGTTTTGTACCCTCCCTTTGAACTGCCTCCCTATTTCAGCTGTTGCATACTCACATTTTCTGTCTTTTACCCCCAAGATTCCCCAGAGCAATAAATCCACTATTACCCCATCCAAAAGATCTCCCTCTCATTCTTGCCTCCTCAGAGTAGAGACTGACAGTCAAAAAGCTGTAGAGCAAGTGCTCTAGTGGCACCTTGGGTCATCCTGCTCCTGGGCTGTGACCCACTCCTGGAGGAGGCCGAAGTAATAGAGCCAGAGAAGCTCCGGCCCAATGTGATACCCAAAGGCACAGCAATTACCTCCTGGGACTGTGCCTGGCATGGCCTCCCTTCCTGCAGCAGCAGAGGCTGCCCATGAGCCACTGCTTCCTCCAGGAAACGCCGCCTTCAGCACAGCTTTTTGATTCTTCTCTGGAGAAAGAACATTGTACAGCTGGATCAGATGGAACCATTCCACAGACTGGAGGTGGTATCTTTTGGGTCAATGCTTGCCAAGGACATGGAAAAGGATCATGAAATCATATTAACTTTTGGGATTGGTCAGGACCCTTCCTTCTCAAAACAGCTGCCATTTCTTGTCAACCCTGAGACTGGGAAATTGCAGAGAACTGGGAAACTGCATGGCCTGTGCTGCAGTTTGGGCTCCCTGTCAGCTGATGCCAAATGCCTTCCTGCAGAGGCTGGGGAGAAGCTGCAGCCAGGCCAGGCTGGGAAACAGCCCTGCAGGCTGTGAAAGCAGCAGTGGGGAAGTGAGGCTGCCATGGATCCCTTCCTGCTGTGCCGGGCACGGCTGTGAAAGCAGCAGTGGGGAAGTGAGGCTGCCATGGATCCCTTCCTGCTGTGCCGGGCACGGCGTGACGAGATGTGCAGAGAAAGCCCCCGGCTGCTGCTTCAGGAGGAGGCTGAGGGACATGGACCCACCTTGTGCTCCCTGCAGCATTTCCTTCAGCATTTGCTGCATAGTATTAGATGGTTCACGAGGTTTCTTGTGTCCAGTAGCTTTGTTCCTTCCTGTTGGAGGACCTTAGAGAAAAATTTCCCAGGAATGGATTCCACAAAACCATTGCTCAGGCTGTGGGGTCAGCAGGGACACACCACTTACCCCTGCGATGGGAGCCGGGCTTGTCTGCAGTAAGCAACCCAGGAGCTGGCAAAGCGCTCCCTGCCCACACACCTGTAACTAAACAGCCACAGAAGCTTCTCTCATCTCTGCTGATCTGCACAGGCAGCACTGAGCCGCAGGAGCTGTGAGGGGATCACACAGTCCAAGGGCACACACGTGCACAGCTCTGTCCTGGCACCTGCAGCGATGCCGCCCTGGCCGAGCTCTGGGCTCTGAGCTGGCCGGTCTCCCTGGGGGAAAGGCCTTGACCTACCCTCACCACCTCCCTGAGACTCAGTCCTGGGTGTGGGTTGAGGAGCTGCATCGCCTGCACCAAGAGGCTTGGCTGCAAAGAAAGGCAGGACAGAACAGATGCTGTGGCTCTGTAGGAGATCCTCAGGCTCCCTGGGGCCTGCAAAGGAGCCACACAAGGCACAGCCCTGGCCCTGGCCCCTTCCCTCTCTGCTCCTCTCCATGGCTGCACAGAGCACACGGAAGGAGACACTGGCATTGCACATGGGATGAAGATTGACAGCTAAATGCTCCTTCCTGCCACTGACAGCAATCCTGTGGGATCTCTCAGGGCTCCAGTGGGACAAGGTTTAAAAAACGCATCACCCCTGAGATTATGTTAAGGGAAGTGGCACATGGCTGAGCTCTTGCCACCCTGACATTGATTGTTCTGTAAGTAAAAAGGGGAATTGAAAACTTGCCTCCAACATCCTCCAAGAATTTCAAGCCATCATTCATTACTTCCAGGTAATCCATGTGATGATTCCAATCTAGATTGGAGCACAGATCAGAGCCATGTCCATGGTGCATTCTGGGATCCCCTTCTGCCTTAGGGGACTGGGCACTGCAAGGGGTTTGGGTAAGGCCTTGGCAGCCAGATGTCAATGGACATGGCCAAAGCTGCAGAGGGTCCTGCGGAGCTGTGGTCACTCTCAACACCCTCTTTGCAGTCCCTTTGCAACATCCCTGGAAGTGTGGCAGGAGCAGCCCAGGGCCCCTGGGGACTCTCTCCCTCCCACAGAGGAAACCCTCCCTTATGCCCGGGGGAAAACCATTCCCAACGCTTCCCAGGGAGAAGGGAGTGCTGTCCCGAGAAAGGGGAACCAGGCCGTGGGCTCACCTGCTCCCTGTGCTCGCCAGGGAGCAGCCTGGGCAGCCCTGTCAGGCAGGGCCACTGCCAGGAGGAGCAGGAGGAAGAGGCGCAGAGGAAAGGCCATGGTGCCTTGCCCTCTGCCAGTCCTCCAACTCTTGCTGTCACCACTGTCCTCACAACGCTGTCCCAGTGTCAGCACCGCTGCCACCGCCGCTGCTGCCACAGCCGCTGCTGCCACCGCCGCTGCTGCCACCGCCGCTGCTGCCACCGCCGCTGCTGCTGTAGCTGCTGCCACCACCGCTGCTGCTGCTGTAGCCGCTGCTGCTGCTGTAGCCGCTGCTGCTGTAGCCGCTGCTGCTGTAGCCGCTGCTGCTGTCGCCGCTGCTGCCACCGCCGCTGCTGCCACCGCCGCTGCTGCCGTCGCCGCTGCTGCTGTAGCCGCTGCTGCTGTCGCCGCTGCTGCTGTCGCCGCTGCTGCAACAGTCGCAGTCAAGGACTGACTGCTCCGTCCTTGTGGTGCTGTGCAACCACGGGGCTCTGCCACCTCTGTGACCTCAGAGCCTGTCGTGACCTCAACCTGTGTAACCCCAGAGCCTGCTGTGACCTCACAGCCTTGGCTGTACCCCTCGAGTGTTCTCCCATCTGGGTGCCCTGATAGTAAATCTTTTAATTCATCAAAGGGCCATTGCTAAACAAAACCTTGGTTTTGTCTGCTGACATTGCTGGTCAGGTGTCGCTAGAGGACACGAACTATAGAACGAGGGTTCCGATCACACACAGGTGTTCTGACACTGGTAGAAGGAGCAATACCTCCCTCATCTCATTGGTGGGACAAGAGAAAACAGTCTCAGAAAATATGTGTCTTGTTTTAGGAAACAAAAGCTTATTTTCATAAACAGTCCTTGAGAGTGAAAAACTCCTCAAAAGACTTTCTCTTGGGAGCAATCAGCTCCCGAGAGCATGAAATTCTCTCAGGTTCAGAAAATCATGTCCACAGTCAGGCTGTGTCCCTGGTGTTTTTCTTGATGGTTCCCTCTTTTCCTGGGCACTCCAGTGGAGGAGGTGCAGGCCCAGGTGATGCCACTGAAGGAAATGTGCCCTCAGCCCAGGGACGCTCAGCTTGGACTCCCCCAGCCCCTCAGGGCCCCACCGCTGGTCACAGCAGCCCCTGCCTGGCTCCTGCCTGCCCACACTGTGGTCAGCCCCGGCAGCTCCTGGACATGGATCTCAGTCAAGGCTGGTGGGCACTGGGCTAACAGCTCCATCTCTTTATTTGAAGAGAAGAAGGGGCCATCACCTACACTGGCAGATGGGCTCACCTTCAGTGTTGTTTACAGGGCAGGGCCAGAGGGGCTCAGGGACAGAGGAAGGGCCATGTTGGTCTCAGGTGGGGCTGGAGGGTGCTGGGCTGGTCTTGGGGTCTCTACAAGAACTAAGGAATGGGCTAGGCTGGGGCAGAGGGAGATCAAAAAAGGGAATGAAGGGACCTTGGGGATACCCATGGGGAGAAGAGTTGGCCGTGGGATCTACAGGGTTATAGGAGGATTCCTCCTGTTCTGGGATGGCTGCTCTGGGGTCCTCTTCTCAAAGCTCTTGCGAGAGCTGCCCAGGCCCTCATTACTGAAGAGGAGCTGCTCAAGCTGTCTGGGTGTTTAGTGCAGCCACTGTCCTTCAAATGCTGTCCAGAAGTGCTCCTGTGGAGAGAGGAGGTGGCTGAGGCCCCCAGCTGTCGCTGGCACACAGAGCCCCTCCTGCACAGCAGGGCCCAGAGCGGCCAAGGCTCCCCAGCACGGCTGCAGCTGCTGGCACAGCTTGGCCCAGCTGCAGAGCTGCCCCTCAAGGCCCCAGCGAGCAGGGGATGGCTCTGGGCAGGGTCCCTGGCCAGGAGCAGGCCCCAGAGCGCCTCTGCCTTTCAAGGGCAATCTTGTTCCTGCTCTTCCTCCTGCCCACCTTGCTTTGCCTCTGCCCGCTGCTCCTGGGGCTGCTCTTGGCCAGGCAGCCCCTGTGGGAGCCAGCATTGGCTGCAGCACAAGCGGGCTCCCCAGGACAAGGCCCAGCAGTGAAGAGGCCAAAGAAAGGCCTGGGCAGCAGCAGAACTCTCAGTAGAGTTATTTGGATAACCACTGACTCCCCACAAGTCCACAGCAGCCTCCTTGGAAATGTTTCCTGTCTACAATAGACTTCCATAAGAAGCTATTTGAGGGAAAGATGAACAAAACCCTCACCATTTTCTCCTCCAGGAACACCAGATTCCAAAGCAGCACAACATGAAGACAAGCTCTCCACCTCCCACCATGGCCATTATCTCTAGTTAGCAGCGTGTTCCCTGACAGAAAGCCCTTTCAATGACCTTCTGGGAATCAGGAACATGAGTTGTGGTGCTGGCTCCATCTGTGGGAGCAATGGGCAGTGTTAGCCCGTGCTGTGCTCTGCTGCTGAGCTGGCAGCACGCTGGATACGGCCAGGACGTTCTCTGTTTCCCCCTGAGCTGGGGCCTGCAGGCACCTTGCTGCCCCTTGGCACAGGCTGTGCCCCCCAACAGAGCCCAGAAGGACGGGAGCAGAGCCCGGGGACAGTGCAGCCACTTGGGCAGTGGCTCCTTCCAGGGACACGGGCCAAAGCCATCCCTGAGCAGCCAGAGGCACCCCTGACCCTCCCTGCTCTGTGACAGCTCCCCCAGCCCAAGGGGACAGAGCCAGGCCCTGTCAGGAGCCAGTGCAGGCCCTGCCCAGTTGGGAGCATGGCCCTGGGCTCATGGCAGGGCTCCCACTCGAGGCTGCTCCTGTGCCTTGGGCCTCTGGGCACTCAGGGCCAGCTCTGGGAGCAGCTGCAGAGAGAGGGATGTTGGTGCACGAGTCCCGTTGCTTGGAGCTGACCTTGGGGCTCTGAGATGGCAGCTCTCCCAGTGGGAAAAGCCTTGACCTACCCTCACCATCTCCCAGAGAATCGTTCCTGGATCCCAGGGGCACAGTTCAGGACGTGGGCTGATAAGCCAGATCACCTTCATTAACAGGTTCAGCTGCAAAGAAAGGCAGGACAGGACAGGTCCTGGAGAGTGCTCAAGATTCTCCTTCAGTCCAGAGGGGCTGGGAGTACACCTGGGTGACTGCTGCCCTCCAAGGCACTCCCTCATCTCTGCCTTCCCCTCAGGAGCAGGGGCAGGGGGACCACGTGCCTGCAGTGGCCCCACACTGGGATGGAAGGAGCCCCTTGCATGGCAGTCAGGGGAGAATGGTCTCCCTTGTGCTGCCAGCAGCTCTGAACCGAGCCTCAGGCAGAGCCAGGGCTTGGTAGTGGCAGCAGGAGCAGCTCAGGCTCCCTGAGGCCAGCAGAGGAGCCATGCAAGGCACAGCCCCGGGGCACAGCCCTGAGCCTGGCCCCTTCCCTCTCTGCTCTTCTCCGTGGCTGCACAGTGCAGGCAGATGGAGACACTGGTGTAGAGAATATTTTAACAGAAGGTGGGCATGATATTTTAGTAAAGGCCTGTCTGCACAAACCAGCCTTTGGCATAAGTCGTGATATTAAAGGCTAATGTCCTTGAAACTTCCCTGAAGCAGAGAGAATGAAGAAAAACAATATCCTTGTGTCTAAGAGAAAAAATGTAAACCAATGTGTATTAGCCAATAGTAACTTGCTTAGACCTCAGGTCCTGGCAAACACTATAAAAGGTGCTAAAGATAGAAATAAATGGCATTCACTTTTACTTCTGTGAAGACTTGTGAATAGTCTCTCAATATCTGGCGCTCTGAACAGGAACCTCTCATGGGCTGAGGGGATTCAGTGGTGGAGCCGGTGGAGTGAATCTGGGCGCTGGAAGCCGCGGACGTGGATCGGTACCAAATAGGCGACCTGAGCGCAGTGAGACACGGCGCGGTGAGATGTGGAAAAAGGAGGCAGGTCTCTGGGGGAGACCGAAGACGGAGGAGTAAGTGAGGGGTCGTGACCTTCCCCCTGCCATGTGCTGTTAGCATGGAAACTGAGTTTGCAGCAGCGAAAAAGCTGCTTCTGAGTATTCTCATTAAACAAGGCAAAGCAGTCAGGGGATAAGACCTGGACAAGCTCGTTTTATGGGCTACAGATAATAGGCGCGGGTGCCCGGAAGAATCGAAAGATACAGGAGATTTGTTGTGACAGAGAATAATTACAGGGAAAAGCAAGGACACTCTGTCTCTCGGTCCCACTTGGCAGATTGTAATTAATACCTTAAAAAACAGTAAAGTGAGATATGCTGAGGCTGTGAGCCCTGTAATTCTACCTGTGTCACAGCAGCCGTCTCTACCTCCCATTGCTGGGTGAGCATTCCTGTCTATGCCGTCCTTGGAGAGAGGGAGGGAGAGTCAGAGAGAAGAAAATAATGAGAAAGAAATTCCACAGCAAATGCTGAAACAACAAACAGAATCTGTTCAGCTACGGCAGGATGTGATACGTCCTGAACTATTTGCTTCACTTTTGGAGACACTTTTAACACTACAGTCTTATTTAAGCTCCAACTTTACTACCCTGGAAGAAGAGAAGCCAAATTTAGCTTGGTTTCTACCCAAACCAGGGGGACATGGGGGAAAGCACTGAGGTGTGTGCAGAGAACAAAGGCACCCCCAGGGCAGAGGCAGAGCAGAAAAAAAATCTCCAAGGCCATGCTGGACAATTACAGAAGCAGTTGAGCAGAAACAGGTGTCTCAGACAGGTGGCTTCAAAGAGAGACAAAACAGCCAAAAAATTGCTAACTTCGAAATTTATCACTGTAATTAAAAGTTGATAAGCTGCAATGGTCACCATTGTTACCACCTGGCCCTGAGAGGCTTTTCGTGTAACATTGCCTGTTTTTGTAAAATCGTGCCCTTTTTCCTCTATCTGTGAACAACGAGAGAAATATTGAGAGAAAGAACTGCATTTGTTAAAGTTACCTTTGTGAGGTTTTTCTTTCCGTTTTCCTCTCTGCGAGAGTGTGTGGGGGATGACGGAGACTTTGCTCAAACCTTCTAGAGATAACAGCAGCAGAGAGCAGCAGCAGAGCGGGCAGTCCATGTACTTTTTTATTTTTTTTCTTTAAAAAATGGGGGGAATTGATGCCTTAGAAGCATTTGATTAATGAAATTCATTAACTTCAAGGGGAGAAATGCCTGTGTTTTGTTAACAGATTGAAAAAAGGTCACCTGTTCATCTGACCAGACTGTCTGCCTTTGAAAACATGAGATCCAGTAAACACAGACGTCACCACACAGCCTTAATACTCCAAACAAGATCAGAAGTGGAGCTGTCAGGACACAGTTGTGTCTGAGCACTACACAGACAGTTTGCCAACAGAAATTTCATGTTGTTATTATGATGTTGTGTCTCTACCGATTTTTTTCAGTTATTCTCTGTTTTAAGATTTAGAAGATGTGAAGAACAAGCTGAACATCGATGCCCTCACTCAGTCACCGATCAGCTGCCAGTGACATCACAGGAGCAGCGGATATTCCAAGACTGAATCACGTTAAATCATTGTTTGTGAGAAGAGTTTTATAGAAGATCTAGAAGAGTATAGAGACTCCATCTAACTGTATATAAAAGCAAATTGTAATTGTATTTTACCCTTTAAGCAAATTGCTTTCACGCTTAGATTGCATGAATACCAGAGCACATGTGTTAAAAGTAGTTAGATAGTAGTTTAAGATAAAGAGTGTAGCTTGTGTGATAATTGTTATTTGTAGGTTATTGATAAGTTTAGAAAAGATATTAGTATAAAGTGTAAGTATTCGCCCTTCAAGAGTTAATGTGAGCATAGTTAAAAGTTCATTTAACTTTAAAGCCTTAGCTGTGATTCTGCAGGCATGCTGTCATTTGCATGGAACAAACTGCTTATGGTAATTGTGCTGTGTGTAGTCCTGACCAACTGTCTGCTAACTAACATCCACCCCAGCACTGGCAGTTGGGGTGCAGGAGGAGTTGTGCTTCTGGGCCAGTCACTTCTGAGGCAGCTTGAACTCCTTCATAGGCAGCCAAGATTTCCTTCTCTGTGGGAATGTAGTTGGCTTCGGACCCTCTGTAGCTTCGCCTCCAGAATCCCAGTGGTCGGCCTCGAGTCTCCTCAGGCACTTTCTGCCAAAGGCTCCAGGATAAGCCATTGTTCCCGGCTGCAGAGTAGAGCACGTTCTTCACGTCTGGTCCTGTCCTGACTGGGCCAAGGGCTACTGCATGGGCAATCTCCTGTTTGATCTGAGCAAAGGCTTGCTGCTGTTCAGGGCCCCACTGGAAAGTGTTCTTTTTTCGGGTAACCATGTAGAGAGGGCTCACGATCTGGCTGTACTCAGGAATGTGCATCCTCCAAAAACCTATGGCACGTAAGAAAGCTTGTGTTTCCTTCTTGCTGGTGGGTGGAGACATTGCAGCGATCTTATTGACGACCTCAGTGGGAATCTGACACCATCCATCTTGCCACTTTACTCCCAGGAACTGGATCTCTCGAGCAGGTCTTTTGACTTTGTTCTTCTTGATGGCAAAGCCAGCTTGTAGCAGAATCTGGATGATCTTTTCTCCTTTCTCAAATACTTCCACTGCTGTGTT